TTATGAAATATGAGTCCAAGTAATCTCTTGGCTTCAGAAACCTGGTTAGTAACATAGTGAAATAATCTTAAATGAGCTGAGTAACTGTGCCTGAGGCCAAGTACGGAGGGAAAATGGGAATAGACTGGTCATATATCGTTATGCGTGGCGCAATATGAGGGAGAGTTGACCATAACAGCTCACGCTTCATTTGTATTATCCACTGTTTTCAACATGTTTCAGTGTTTTCAGCATCTGATTTTATAATGCTAAACAGACTTGTTAATTCATGGGTAGTACTGTAATAAAACACCTGTCAGTGATGGTGATCACTGAGTGGTTTTTCAATGAACCTGTTTATTGGAAGCAGTTCCGTGTTCATTGGGGGCAGCAATAGCTGTCGTCCCCTAGACGTTTGCTCGTTGACAGGAGACCAGAGCAATACGGTTGGAAACGCTTTTAGTGTATTGAAAGTAGTCAGGTGTGAACTACATGGTCAGGCTGCTGTGCAGTTAATTTGCCAAATTCACTTACACTTGGTTGATCAACAAATCTTTTAATGCGGTTCGCTTTGAAATCCAGTAGGTTATTATATGCCTAAAATAGTATCCTGCGTTTTGGACAGGAAGGCTGCAGGAAATTTTCCTGATACCGTTATTGACACGTCCTTTAAACCATAGGCTTATAGCAGGGGTCTGCTACGCTTTATGACGTCACAGATATCATTTAGATGTAGGAAAAATAGGAATGCTATCTTGGGTTACGCAACCTGACATTAGCCTGGTACTAGAAGGTGGGTCGTTAATTTGACAGATTGGGATCGACCACACATAAGGCAATCACACCACTTTAAAATATTTACAGATATACCATAAGCGGTAAGATTTGCAAGGGTAAACTATGGCAGAATGTTGCACCATGAAATACTAAATTTGAAATTCAGGGATTGGTTTGTAGGAATTCGACTGGTTGGTTACAGGATTTCATTATGAGCTGACAGTGGTTAAAGAACCATTGGAAAATCTGGAAGAACTGGACAGCTGTTTCGTCCCTGGTGAGTGCGTGTTGATGAAGAATCCCAAGCTAGGACGAAACAGCTGAAATGATAAAATGAATACGATGAAATCCGGTAGCTAAATTTTAACTTGGTATTTCTTTTTTATATTTTGTAATCAGCTAAATCACTTTTGGGTCGTTGGATTACTGTACATATTTCTGTCTGAATACATATTTTCGTTAACTGCAGGTCCCTTCTGTATTCCACAATTAGGTTTTTGGTATTTTGATACCAAGTAGCCTCATTTGTGAAGGTTTGTACCGAATTTCTGTGATGCACTTTGTCTAATAGAAAAACTGTCTTGCATTTCTTCCTCAGTCTGCCATTAGTATAGTTCTATCTGAAACAACTTTTATGAAACTTCGAAGTTAAAGCCTGAATCCCTGTGTTACTGTCGGAGCGCAAGGGAATGAAATAAAAGATAATTTGAGTGCTTATTTTGATAGAATAACCGGTTAATAAAATGTTACACATTCCTTGTCACTGGTTTGGATATTTCTGACTGATGGATCACACAAACTTCTATTTGCTAGCTGCGCTAGAAAATGGTGGCTGTGACGCAACGGGAATTAGTTCTTAATTATGATTAAGTGCTTCACGAAGCAGAGCATTTCGAGCTTCAGCGGAAATAACCAGTCTGCTGACTCGAACGTCATGCCACCGATGGTCATCCAATCAAACTACATGGTGACTGAAACTGTCAGATGTACTAGCGGTCATGTCACAGGCCTAGTATAACAGTAATATATATTTCGTATAAATGGAAAAGCGTACATGAAATGCATGCCATTTTTACAGGCATGATCAATTATGTTACAAATTACAACTGTGAATTAGGATAGATTATCACTTTTTCAAAAGTTCAAATTGTTGAATCATAGCACAAGCAGTCAGAAGAGATTCTTTAAAATGTTTGATTGTAAACCCTTCACTAAGGTCACCATCGAAGTTGATCGACAACCCGAAATTCGTTCCATTTCCTGATGATAGTTATGACCAATCGATAAACAACATATATTTGTGTGAGTGCTATGCCTTCAAATGCTTGAACGCTATTTCAGGAAGAAAAGAAAATCCCGCGCAGCTGCAAAATGGTATAAAATGCAATATATTAATACATTATTGGAACTATATTTACAAGATAAATACAAGAAGAAGCTGTAGAGTACTTGAAATGATAGTACACGTTTGCAATGTATGATGCTAACCATATTGGTCTTACCATGAAAAAGTATGACGCTTTCGATGAAAATATAGTTATTCTCAAAAGTGGATGTTGTTGTTATGTTTTTTCTTCATCAGAGCAACCAGAATTTATGCGAGCGAAGAGTGTGGACGAAAAGAGTAAATTTCATCTTTGTTAAGGGCTTAGGGAGTTGAGGTTAAGTAGAATATAAGAGTAATTAGATAAAAGGATTGTCATGGAGTATATAAGTGACATTTCAGAGAGAAGTGGCTTGAAGGATAAGAACCCGTTGGATATGGTGACCTGTAGGATGTCTGGCGAACTTGTGTATGGCCCATGGGGTAGCGTCTTGACAAGAAGCTGAGCAGGCTTGTAGTTGTTAGGAGCAAAAGCATTTTTTATAATTTAGATCTGTGCAGTCATTATTGTTTTTCTAAATTTTTTGAAGTTTAATTTTTTAATATTGAGGATTTTAACTCATGTCTAATTCTCGAGCTGTCAAATAATGGATACTGCTGTTCTACAAATCGAAACGATTTAGAAGCTTTAGCAGCTTTCATGACAAGTGCTTCCCATTAGGTCACCAGACACATCAACACCTGAGGACATTCTTCCCAATATTATCATCATATATGTGTACAATTGGGTTACTACGAAAGACTAAGAAATCAAGTTTCCCTTAAGAACTACGAATTGTAAAAAAGCCGGTATTACAGCAACTAAGTTATATTCTATTAAGCTGAGTGATATGAGTAGTAGAACAATTAGTGATAAAGTTATGAAGAGTGGTCCTGAGAAAAACAGTTGATTAGCAGAACATGTTATGCTAAATCTTCACAACCGATTTTTATATGGTGTGCGTTACACATTGCAAAGTGACTCACCAACTTATACTGTGGGAAAAATACTGCAAAATGCTTTAACATAATAAATTCTAGAAAAGCATGTGAAAATGGGTAACCATTCACTGAGAGTAGTAATTTCAACGCGAAAATAATATGGTGTATTATACAAGTTATATGCGTATATGCGTCAAACATTGGAAGGTATTGTTGCTAATGCAATTGTTTCTAGGAATACTTACACTGACCCCACCTATGGGAGATAAAACGGAAGAGAAAATCAATGAATTGTTAAAACGCCTGCTGGAGGAGTAGTAGTTAAAACGTTTTAATAAGTAAAAGGTATAGAAGTTTTGAGTACTAATAGTGTGTGCTGAGTAGAGTGAAATTGATAGTGGTACAATTACGAGTAGAGGCAAGTAGAATGAACTTAAGGAAAATAGTTGGTTGGCTGGGCTTACTTTTGCTAAGTTTTCATGAGCCCTGTCATATGGCATGCTTTAGACATTACAATGTACCGGTTTGCTTATATTATAAAAAACTATTACAACCAAACTAGGATTATACGTCCAGGATAATTATGGGTAGTCTTATGACTTTATAAACCTGTTTGATGAAATAATGATGGGATTTTTAACGGGCTGAATAATCGAACCTTGGGGCAAGTCATGTAGGAAACATTGGACTGGTTTTATCACAATTTCGATGCGTTACGGTGGCTGGGACAAATGAATTTCCTCACATTGGGGGTATTGCATTGTGGTCTGTAGTGCTAAAATGTGTTGAATATGGGTAAAGTATGGATAAGTAGACCGAAGCACTTCTGTTGACAGGATCTCACTAAGGAGGTGCTGGAATTCAGTGTTTAAAGATGGAAATATTGGGCGCAATAGAAATAAGGAAGTTGTGTCGATAAGGTCACTTTACAGATACCAAATCAGTGTTCATGATGTGATACTGGGTATCATTGTGATACAGCTAATGGGTTCCGTGGCTGTCTTCGCCTGAAGCCACCATGCGCGGCAAAGAGTTCTGTATGAGGGTATACAGAATGGATTCGTCGTGGAGAACGACAGCTACTATGGCACCATGAGGAGCAACTTCCAATCATGCGTTATTCTTCATTTTCGCGAATGATCCAGAGAATAACTTCTTCCCTTCGGGGGTTTCTTACGCAGATGATGGAAGCTGTGAGAAGCTGCAAGAAATAAGGAAAGCTCGATCAGTCTGCATGAAAATCCGACTATCTTGGATATTTGAGATGGATCAGGCTTTAAAAATAATTTAATGCGATGATTATCTCTACATTGCCGCAACAAAGAACTTAGCACTTATGGGGAGCTAATCTATTCTATGCAGGAGAGGAGATCCTTTTTGAGCTACCTTTGACGGAGAAGCTACGCACAAGTGCCAACTACGCAAGGACTCAGTAGTCTAGCACTGGAAGGGTATGAGTTGCTACAAGTACCATACTCTTTAGATGTATCTTTCAGTATGCTGTTCAACATTCATACCTCTCCATCACTATTTTTCTTCTTTCTTCTATCTTCTAGCTTACCTGTTCTGTAATCAGTCCTCCCACCCACCAATTTTTTCGCCTATTCAATCTATCGACTCCCTATTCATGCCATATAACCACTATCTAGTGTACTGTCTGGCCATTAGCAGGAATGCTACTGCCCTGACGTAGTCCTTCCATCCGCTTGAAAAAACACCAACGTGTTTATTGCATTCACCAGATCTGTAAACAGTAACTATCTCCCTATATCTGTCTGGGTCTGCCAAAGCAGACGAGTGGCATCAGCGATCACGTATAAATTTAAGGAAGTTCAGAAATAACAGATAGCAACAAGTATTAACCGGTAAAAAGTATATCAAACATTGATAACATTGAAGATGACTTTGTCTCGACATACTATATCATGCACTTAGATTACACGACCTTCGCGTTTAATTAAACCCCAAGGTAAGGTGTTAGGAAAGACGGTATCTCCAGTTTTAAGGTTATGGGTATTTATCGCTTTTACTTGTTATACTTCTCCGTTCATTAGTTTCTGTTTAAGATTTACAGTTATTTTTCACGTTATGCATGTTTTAATGTGTTGAGATCAATTTCTTCCACTGGAGAACCACTACCCTTACATGATAGCCAATAAAACAACTTTCACAAACTTCTGCGGAGATATACACCGACACCAAAGTATGTGTTGGTAATGCGGTGTAATATTTTGTGTGTTTTAACGAAACCTAGTGTGCGTTGATGATTGCGGAAAAACAGCACAGGATGATAGCTTTTATAGAATATAAATTCACTTCATAATTTAAGCACTGAAGAGAAAAGCGTTAGTTCAGAATTTGCTAGGTTTACTTCAGCATTATTGTAAGTTTTGTGGAAAGTCACTACGTGAGTCTTATAGTTAAATACAGTAGATATTAATGTTGTTTAACACTTTATAATAAAGTGAGGTATCTCTGTAATAATAAAATATAATTTTAGTGCTTCTGATGAAGAGGAAATTTAGGTGTGCCACAACTTAGAGTAGTGATGAGTTCCCACTAAATGGTCGAACATATTATAAATCTGTTCCTAGTTTATGTAATAGTTTAAGGAAAAATGCACTGAAGTGGTTATTTTTAGTCATTCTCTTTGTTTCCCCAACTTATACTGCTTTTACAGGCCAGAATGTCCACCACTGCCAACCATCCAAAGAAGATTGGATCATGGTATTTCGGCGGGATAGCTAGTGCAATGGCTGCTGCATGCACGCATCCACTGGATCTCATCAAAGTACATTTACAAACTCAACAAAAGAAAGAATTTGGAATGTTAAAAATGGGGATTCGTGTGTGCAAACAAGACGGCATCTTAGCCCTGTACAATGGTATAAGCGCCTCGGTTCTGAGACAGTTAACTTATTCAATGACTCGATTCGGAATGTACGAAACCTATAAGCAATCCAAAGGCTCTCCATTACCATTCGGTGAAAGTGCAGTAATTGCCATGGTCTCTGGATTTTGTGGAGGTATCGTTGGTAATCCAGCAGATATGGTCAATGTTAGGTAAGTGATTTTCAGTTGCAGTCGTGCATCTTGGTTGGGTGGATTTTGAAACAAATTGTAGGCGTCATAGTATAATAGCCTGGAAACTAATCAGATGTGAACCGAGTAAATAACTTGCAGGATGATAATCTGTTTAATAATGGGTTAAGTGTTTCTAAAGTGACCTAAAACCTGATATTCTTTTCAGTACTCTAAGAAATGTGTTTCGTATCGTATTCTACGTTAGCGTGAGAGAACAGCTATAAAAACGTTATCTTATTAGATAAAGTGGGGTTAACTTTCCTGACCCCTCTCTTGCTGTTCATCTCAATCTAACATGTTCGCCTGAAATTCTCGTTATAACGTATCAGGATTTACTTGGGTTGAATAGAAAAGACACATAAAAATGCATTATCGTCAACTGATAAGACATTCTTTATAAAATGCTTTGTGATTAAGAACATATGGGAATTTTTCATACTTCAAAATGCTCTACTGGCTAAATGTGTCATCAAAAACCCAGGTCTTCTAATTCTAGTGAGCGTTATTTCTCTTCATATTAATTGCTTTAAAATGATTGTTAAGGGTACTATTTGTTTTCACTTGAAAAGTTTAGTGATTCTGTGAAAATGGATGCATACTTTTGTTATGACACATTGCTGGTATTTTAATGCAGTATTCAAAAAGTAAATGTTGTAAAATAATATATTTCGTCAGTGACATTACGGTCTAGTTAGATCATTAAAAAGAGCTTAATTGAGATGCACTATTTTTAACAAGCAAGTTGTAGTTCGCTCTCTCTCTTTTATAGGTATTTTGTTCTCTTCATTGAAATAATACACGCTGAACTAATTTTTAGGTAGTGTTCACTTTTCATTGTTTTTTCTGTAACTCATTCTAAAGTAGTATCATCGTCTTTGCACTCACCATGTATGGACTTTACTGTCTAAATCCTATAACTTAACAATGTCTTATTTACTGTTTTAACAGCATGCTACTTCACACCACGTTTCTTCTCACACCATTCTGCCAGCACTGTTTTCCACTGACGGCATAGATAAAAGTCGTAGCTATTTGCATAACAAATCGTAGACACTAGATTGGTTCAGGGATTGATATGGTTGTTCCGTATGTCCTCTATTTTGGTGGTAGCAAAATCATCGCCTTTTTCTAACTTTGTTAAACATTTCCTCACTTTACAAATTTTCAGTCAGTTAATTGGTCGTTTGTGTTGGTGCCATCACTTAGTATAACCTTCGTAGATCGCATTGTGTGGGTTTTTTCTATTGACCCAATGTTAAGAACTCAAAAGTCATTTTTTCCTTTTGTCGATACTATCCTCTAAGATTTCGTGACTTCATTATTTGATAAAAGGCTGGGGGGGGGGCTGTGGACCATGGGATTAAAAAAGGCAATGTAGACAAAAGCAATGTCAAAGGTAATATAAGAGGTGAGTAATGTCAAAGATGTCTCTGCATTTCTTTCTTAGTCAAAATGACAGATATTCTCATAGTGAACTTATAGTAATTGCTCAGCTTCATCACCTTGATGTATATATTGCTCAGAACTTTACGAAAGCGGTCTACACAGGCACTGCATGCTCCTTTAATAACTTACTTCATCTTAACACGCTTTCTTCAGGTATTTCCGAGTCTTACAAGAGTTTCTGTTGTAGGTGTTTTTAAGTGAGAAATAAATTGTCTACAAAATCATAGCTTCGTAGGACAGAGTCTTGAGGACAAGAACTTATATCTTTTTTCACCTAAGCTCCCAGTATTGAGGGGTAAAATATTTACCAAATTTCTGGGAACTCAGAGGCTTTATATGTCTGACGCTGCTGTTTCGAAGGGCAACATTTCGAACTTATATGCCTGTATGAAAGGTGTTTTCATTTGTGCGCCTGTCTGAAGAAATGATAGAAGGATAGAATTCCACGGGCAAATGTTGTCTTTTGGTCATTTTTCGAGACGAATTTTGTTTTTGAGCAATGAATGGACAATCCGAATTAGTAGTCTAATTTGCGAGATAGCAAACACTTCTTCAGGTCAAGGCATTTAGATGTATTCGTCTTGGAAAGCTTCTCATCATTTCTAGGCACTAATACTTAGTAGAAATACTTAGTTTTAATTAACACACTTAAGTTAGTTAATTAAGATGTAGTCATTACACGATTGCAAGTGAGACATGTTCTTCATCCACATAATGTTTTGCCGAACGTTGGTATCTGTAACAGAGTTAGTATAAAGCAAGAGTTGTTATAGCCATGTCAAGATATAGCACGAGCCTATTAAACTGTTTTCTATTGTTTCTAATTGTTTAGAGAACTGTGATTTATTGCTTCAAGCGCTCAACTTTCAACCACTACGTTATGAGTTCGAATCCGAACACCAGCCAGATAGTTTAACCAGCCCTAAAATAGTACATATGATTCATTCTCACATCCATGGTAGTATAAGTCGTTGTTGAGCATCGTTTTCCAATTATCCCTAAAAGTTAAGGTTGTCTGACTTCTAGTCTGTCAGACAACAGAAATAGATTGTTGGAAACTCCACGTTATGAGTTCCAGGATCTAGCTGAATGTAATCAGAGGGCATCAATGTCTTGTATTAACTGTAAAAGAGAGATTATACATTTTTATAATTTGCTTTATATTTTATCATACTTTCCAACATGTTGTCTATTGCATCTTATGCAAATGCGATATATGCTGATTTGGGACCAGATCCTTTTTCGTAATGTTTTGTCCTTACTCAGAATTTATTCTGCTTAATACACATGTGAAATATTTCAGCAAGAATTACGGTTCACAGTAACGGTTTCATGCAGCGTTTTGGGTAAATTTCTTTCTTTCTCAAATGGAAATTGGCATTCTTTTATTGATCGGGTACAAAGAGGAATGACAAAGTACACAATTTGTGTCTGTCTATTGAAATCTCCAGTCTACAAATGTAACTGAATGACCATCTGTAATGTGATAAAGCGAGTTCTTGCTGTCATTTACTTGACCAAGTAACGAAAATTAATCTTCCAACTATCATATTACTGGCTATTTAGGGAGTTATTCTCACAGTAATTCAGTAAACAGGAAACAGTAATTGTATGCATAGTGAACTTGCTTCTTGGTCATTAATAATCTCTTGTTTAGGGCTTCATTTACTACATCACCATTTCATTGAAATCTAGTGACTTTTGCCTAGTATTTTTCCTCTGCGTTTTCAACATATCATCATACTTTTTCCAAAAATATTTAGTGGGCATCCATCTACTTCATTCTTTGTTAAGTTTATATTCCAATTTATTAAACGTGCGTCGGTGGTTCAGTAATGTAGAATCCTCGCCAACCATGCAAGTGGTCTGGGGTTTGATCCCTGGCCGACTCAGTCATAAATCTCGCTAAGCCAGTAGTAAGGCTAATAAAGTAGGAAGGTTGAGCGTAAGACCAGCAACCCCACCCCGTGAAAATAAACGTCAGTACTGCCGAAACTTCGAAGCCGTAGCCTGAAGCCCTATGTTCCACTCGTAACATAAAGGAATAAAATAATAATAATATGACATCACTGTAATAAATTTTTCCAGCTCAACCTGTAAGACACCTTGCAAAAATGAATGTATGTCTGCTGACCTTTAGGTTCGCTTCTGCTCTTGCACACTTTTTTAGCCGAATAGCAGTCGTTTCCATGGTATCAGAGTAAGAGAAAAGCTTGTCTTATTTCCACTTCTATTCCACCTCTTTTTACACTGTTTGATTGTCTCGTAGATTTAATGCAATTCTCTCCTCACCTGTAAATACCCTCATAAAGTTTAGTCTGGAATTATCTCCTCGTGTTTTAAAGTTCTACCTTTCTTATAACTAAATGGGTGTATTTGTTCTCGTGATGACTTGACTTCCCTCTTCATCTAATCTGCTCGAGACAGAGATCTCATGAAGCACATACATGCAGAGTGGCAAGCTGTTATTAACTGGTGTATCTGTTACACTATTGATTACCTACTATCATCTAATCTTGAATGATTGATATTGTAAGTGACCTAAGCATCTTGTGAATTTATACTCTCATTCAGTTAAAAATATACACTTCGTAGACTGTTCATCGAATCTTTTTAAAAAAAATTCTACAGTCATTGATGAGAAATAATTAATTTAGAACATAACTTTGTCTGAGACATTAAAATCTTTAATACTCTCAATAAATTTAAATGTATCATCAATGGGCAACTTAGATACTTGCCTTCTAACTGGTTCCAGTATTTCAGCTAAACATTGAGGGGTTTCGTGATAAGCAGAACGCAACGTATCGAGAATTGGACAAAGGGGTAATCCTGTTTCGTGAATTTTCGGTAGGCCCTACAAACTTGGTATTATGGAGTCTACTTACTGGTCAGATACGTTCATACAAATCTGACGCGATTACGGATTTAGTTCTCATGTTATGTCAGTTGGTTTTCAAATGGATGTATCTCACCATGGGATTAGGCGAATTTCATTTAATCTGACAGAATCACTGAGATTTCTTCGTTATAATCTTGGCGATTATTCATTACAATACCTCGATCTTTGTCTGGGCGACATATCATTGTTCTTTTCTAATTCTCCAAGTAGGTCTATGCGGTCTTTGGTCAAAAGATTATTCGAGCTAGGTTTTGAACTAGTAAATTAGTATCAGCATTACAGAATTGTAGATTTAAAGTGTTGGGATTCCTAAGGTGATGCGGGTATCAGATCGTTGGTCTGGCTGATTAGGTTTTCTAACTGCCAGCTGAAATACTGTACCAGTTAGAAGGCAAATTTTACATTGATGGCACATTTAAATTCACTGAGAGTACTAGAAATTTTTATGTCTCATCAAATGTGACTTCGCTATTTACTAATGAAATTCTCAAGGAAACTGTCTGATATATATATATATATATATATATATATATATATATATATACAGTAATCTACTTTATTCCAAAAACAGTACTTATAATACAGAATGGAATTCTCAGCATTTGTCACAATATTGCATCTGATTTACTCAAAATATAAATCAAATTGAAAATTAAAACGAAATTAACCGGAGGAATTTGTCCACATTTACAATATGAAGTCAAATATATGTATATATGCGATTATATTGATGTACAAAGTTTAAACATTCGGTTTCGGACAACCTACCTCAAAGAACTCTTATTGAAATAATTTAATGACACCTTTGAGTTTGGCAGCATTCAGAGATATTCATTCCTAAATGTATATAATTATCTGCCGAAGAACACATTAGTCAGCAAAAGAGATCTCTTTTCATAATTACACTTCAAAGCTGTACATTTACTTATGGGGTTTATATATATATATATATTGTCAACGAAAATGCCTAAGGAAATGTAGGCGAATCGGACATGCTGAGAAATGTTGGTTGAGTGATTCTGTACTCTAGGCTGTCGAGTGAGGCCTGTTTGGCATGAGTCCGAAGGTGATATTTAGGCTACCGTCTGAGGAGGAGATGAGAGCTTATTGGCAGTCCTGGACCCAGTTGAAGAGGACTGAAGAAAACAAGATGAAACGGAGATGTGCCGTTGAACCCCTGTGTTTCACTCAGAACCCAAGGGAATAATATCAATAATAAATAACTGTACAGCTCTGAAGAGAAGTTACAAGAACAGATCTGTTTGCTGCCTTATTTGTTCTTAATTAAATAGCATAGGAATTGTCCATAACTTGAAGAGAATACGCAGAGATTAGATGCCGCTGTGTTAAAGTGCATTTTAGGAGGTGATTATTCCTAGCAAACATATCTATGATGAACTAGGTATCACAGCCTGTTCAAACTTAATATTAAGGATTTTTCATTCAAATATATAAATATTTTCACTGTATAACTTGACTATCTTTTTGTTAATACCTGTTTATACGTTTGCAGTACACTTTTCTTCTTTATATGATTTTACCTTTTAGAATGCAAAATGATATGAAAGTGCCAGTGAATGAAAGACGCAAGTGAGTTGTTTAGTTGTATACTGCTTCTAGAAATTACCGTTCACTGTGATTATTGTTCATTATCTCTCCCTCTCTCTCTGTTTGAGCTTGGATCACTTTTACTTGTTCTTCTTTAGCAGACATCGGTTTTATTAGTTGATTAGGGATTAATATCTGCTCAATTTTTTTTGCAGACAAACTCTGCATCTATTTTTTGTCCTGTTTTTCAAGTAGCGAGATGTAGTTATATTATTATTATTGTTTCCTTTAATTCCCAGAAGAACATAGGGCTTCAGCCGTGCGTCTCCATTGCGTTCGGTTCTCTGCTACAGTCTTCACCTGGCTCCAAGTCTGCCCACACGCTTTCTTCTCCTCTTCACATGACCTCCTCCAAGTCACCCTTGCACTGACGACCAACTCGCCGCTTCCCTTTCGGGTTCCACTCGAGCAATAGCTTGTCTAGTGATGTCACTTGATGGTTTCCTCAGAGTATGGCCAATCCACGTCCATTTCTTCCTGCCTATTTGTTTCACAATTGGTTCCTGGTTGGTTCGCTCCCAGAGATCTTTGTTACTGATCTTTTCTGGCCATCTAATCTTGAGTATTGAGCGAAGACAGCTGTTAATGAAGGTCTGTAGTTTGTTTGAGATGCTCTTTATGATACGCCAAGTCTCTGATCCGTTATGCAGTTATAAGCATGAGTAAATTTACGCCTTCTGTGGAATGTGAAGCATTGCGTTCAAATACTGTATTTAGCGATACTGTCTACAAACTTCATACTTTTACTGAGATTTCTGGCAAATGGATTAGTTGGTATAAGGGGGTGTACTATATATATATATATATATATATATATATATATATACATATATATTCCTGAGAATAGACGGTCCGGACGCCCAAGGGTGACATGGGGAAGGTTATGTGAGGACGAAATCAAAGCCTTTTGGGAGCCGTGAAGCCATATAACTGGGTACAATGGAAGCTTCCCTCTAAAGCATTACAGGTTTATTTCGAACTGAAAGAGCAAGTAATTATAATAATGGCGAATTGGACTGATACATATTGTTTTACTATGCTTCATGCTACTTCTGTCTGTTTGTCTGTACTTTGATTTAAATCCCCGTTTTTTGTTTGTTTTTTTGGTAATCTTACACACCACATTTTTCATAGTCCTGACTTGTAGTCATCATGATTTTTGTCCGATACCACAGATTCAACATCATACTTCTTCGTTATCATATTTACCTTCACTTGTCTCCTGTCATTTTTTAAAAAAGTGCTTTGTAGGAGTGTTGCACATAACTTTTTCATTTCCTATCATAGAACTAGGAAGATCTAAAAGAAAATGTTGACTGTTAAGCCGGTCAACAGTATACTAAAAGGTCTAATCTCGCATAAAATTGAAACTGATCCCACAGTATCAAAAAGTTGACAAAGTAGACAAGAAATTAAAACTGTCTTTCATATGGAGTGCAAATGTTTACAAAATAGTCGATTGTGATTGCATACATTGTCGCTTTGATGTGGAAATATTTTTTCATGCTTTAGAGGTTTCGTTTTTTCGAATATATCAATCGGATCCTTGAAGTAGAGGTATATATATAGTTAGGATTAAAGAGAGGAAGATGAGCATTGATAAGTTCACGGCCAACTACAGCTCAGGTAAACAATCCAGGCAGCCGAGCAGTCATCAAGCGATGGAGCCGTTTTTAAAACAAACAGTATTTGTACCATCCAGTAAGAAGTTGGCTGTTGTTAAGAATTATTAAACAATAAACGTTTGCGAGATAACTAACTAACTTTATTTCCTTACAATTTTGTTAATACAGTGCGGTGGATAAACGAAAACTGTAAAATTCGTTATAAATGTAATAGAACATCTACAATTTCACCGTCACTTTAGAACTAATGCAGTTACCCACTTTCTTTCAGTTAAGATGGCACAGGTATAAATGTGTGCACCTACAATCAGTTGACTAACTGTATGATAACTATAGTTAGTGTTAGAAAAGGAGAGTCCATTTAAGTTCACAGTAGTTTATGTGTATTCTTTCTGTGTATATTACTGCAGCCTAATTGACGAATAAAAACAATAAAAATCAGATGGTATGATGATATTAGATAGTTGGAGGCAATCGGCCACAGAAAGCCTTGGACCTAGGTTTCGTGCTAGTTGGCACTCATCAGCAAGGCGTATCTGCAACCTTGAAGGAACTTATGTCTCTTTTGAGATTCGAACCCGCGTCACCCAGTGCTGCAGTCAGAGACGTTACCACTCAGTGGTAACTGAGCAGGAAACCTAGGTCCAAAGCTTCCTGCCGATTGCCTCCAACTATCTAATATCATCAAATCAATGTGCACCGTGATGATGAGCTACCTGGATGGTGGCCACATTGCAAACCTGACTGATAGAATTCAGTCTGCACCAAAGAAAGGACTGGACACGTCACACTAGTTACTAGTGTCTAATGAAAAATCAGATGGTATTTTAATTGCCAATAGATTCATAACATCTCAGAAACTCTGATAAAATCAAGGAAAGGAACTTTTTTTCCATAAAATAAGGAATATCAAACTTTCTAGTTCAATAAAAAATATATCACATACTGCAAACTTTAGTCAACAGCCGCCCTTTTTATTCCATACTGAAGATCAGATGGTGGGTCAGAACGGACTGGCCACAAGGAACTCTGGCAGTACAGCTAACCAACAACCTATCACCCAACAAATATGCCTTTAGATTAGATACACACTGAGAAGAGTGTTGACTTGCCTTATGTGCTAGGCCTTAAACTGGAACCCAAATAGGAAATGACAATTTGGGCGGCGTGGGTTCGACGGCGACATGGAGGACATTGTGTGAGGTGAAAGTGAATGCTTATGGACAGTCATTGGGCCAGATAAAAAACAACCCTGCATGAAACACGGTGAAATCGCGATGCGCTGCTGAAGCCTCATATTATCTTACTCGAAACCCAAGAGGATAATAATAATAATGACTAATTTTCCTTATATAGGTAGGTTCTATTTTAAGTCTCACTTTCTAACTGTTAATCAGTCTCTCATTTTCTACTGGAACAATCTGGGCGCTTTTGGTTGATTAGTTCAAGGACGATGACTGGCTGGTTCAAACAAAGGACTTTGCACGGATGTACACCAGTTCGAGCTGCGACTCGCCATTTCCATCTAAAAGGCGTTCACTAGAGAGAGAGAGATAATAAACAGAAGTGTGAGTGAGGGAAAAAGAATAGTAATATGGAAAGACAATAAAGTATTTTGATTGGATATGGTAAATGACAAAGAGTGAATGCATCTGCGCCATCATTGAAAACAACGATTTTGAGCTGTCTATATCACCAATTATCTCCAGCCGTCATTGGTTTTTACCATCATCCCGAGGACCCCAACCAGCCAGTCAGGTAGCCAATCTGCACCTCCCTATGTGGCTGGCTGGCTTAAACTAATTGCTTTTATGGATTTGATTGACTGATGAAGCCAGCTATGTCTTAGTTTGACCACCACGACATGCTAGCTCTTGTCCAATCGAGGAAGGCGATGGATGGCTAGTTAGGTATGCATACATGCGTAACATATGTCCCAACCATTTCAATCTATGTAACTTCACAACCTCGTCATTTGATGATTTTCTCTCCTCCTTACGTAGCACTTACCGCCAGGTATGGACCACCGTGGGGTAAGTTGGGATGTACAGTTTTTGCTGTCGACCTTTTCTAATCCTCTCTCTTCGTGGTGGAGAGACAGCATAGCTGGCATTTTGCTCGTCTGAAGGAAACTCCTTACTGCTGTTACATCCCTGTTCCCCAGCAGTACGACTTGGACCAAAGACCCCCAGCATACTGTAACAAAAATCTTACACCATTCCGGTAACTTCTTTTATTCCAATCGCTATCCGAACAGTATTCCTGGCATGGTAGGACATGCAGGAACATTACTTCCAGCCAGTGTAGCTTATTGAGTCATTGTGATATGCAAGCCCAACCACCATGTATACCAAGGGAGCAGCTATCGGTTGGGTAAAAAAAGAATACAACTTTGGAATTCCAACGCGAACTATGTCTAACTTTAGTATATAAATAAAAATCATTGTTTGGTATTTAATTTAATCATACAATTAATTATTTGAACTTTTTTTGCATCTAATAGTTACAAAAATTGTATCGATGGCTTAGTTCAAGTAGTTCGCAATGAAGGTGTGCCGAAATTGTTTAGCGGTGTCAGTATGACTGCTTCACGTGCTGCATTTATGACTGTTGGACAATTGGCATTTTATGATAAATTTAAAATGATGCTTATTAATACAGGAAGTTTCCAGGATAAACCTTTAACGCATATGATTGCAAGCAGTAGTGCTGTAAGTGTTTATTGTTGGTTGACACTCTTCTGTTTTCTGGTGAGGGTAATACTACATCACGAATCAACAAGGTTAGAATTCACGGGTCATTAAAATTCCAACCTAAGTGGCAGGACAAGATGCAACAATAGTCCAGTACTCCGTGGGTTTTTTTTAGTTGTCATTCCATGCACAGGATCCACCCGGTTGTGATTAGCCAAATTATTCCATTTGATATTCAAGTGTTGGTTTGGAGAGATATGATTGGCTACAGGATTTCATCATGAGATGACATCAGTTAAGTAACAAGTGGAAAGTACTCCCAGGTATTCCAAAGGTTCTCTAACCGATGTCATCTCATGATGAAATCTTGTAGCCAATCATATCTCTCCACACCAACACTTGAATATTAATCTGATGCTCACTAGTGACTGACTCGCCCTATTCAGGTAGGCAGTTTTCTGGGTGGGTTCTAGTGGGAATTCGTGACCACTGGGTTACAACAGGTCGGTTGTGAAGACAAGTACTCGCCACAGATGACATAAGCTAGTGGTCGCGCTATATCACGAATTGCATGGAGGATTTCATCATGAGCTGACATCAGTTACAGAACCACTGGAAAACCTGGGAGTACTGGACGGCTGTTTTGTCCTAGTTTGGAACTCTTCATCAGTACGCACACACTGGGTTCGAACCCAGGACCTTCTGGTTACAAGGCAAGCTCGTAAACCATTGAGCCACTAGGACCCGACACAGTGACCCATGAAGTTTAACTTCTGCCAACTCATAACATAGCGCGACCATTTCGCAATGTCTTCTTCGATGAGTTACTGCATCATCTTCAATTGGCAGAATTGGCAGAAGTTGGGATTCATGGGCTGGTCATTGGATCGGGTCCCAGTGGCTTAATGTTCGGTCTACGAGCTCGCTAGCCTTGTAATCGGAAGGTCCTGGGATCGAACCCTGGCAGTGAGTGCGTACTGCTGAGGTGGAGTATTAAGTACTAGGACGATAGGAACAGCTGTCGGACAGTACTCCCAGCTGGTTTTCCAACTGTTCCTTATTCTATGTCAACTCATGGTGAAATCTTGTAACCTATTCTATTTGAATTAAATACCAAGGCATACGTGTTTTGCCGTTGCATGCATTATACAGACAGTCGCAGCCTCAAAAATTTCAGTACTTGATTGTAAATGACAGCTTACTTATTGTAAATGGGTTGATAGTTTACTACCTAACCTTTGAAAAAAGTAGTAGGGAAAGAGTTGAAGTTCTACGTCTTATAGTAATAATAATAATAAAGCTTTATTTCAGACAATATGGAAACACAGTACCGAAATTTTCAGCATATTTAGTTCCAAAATACTTCCCTTTCGTGCAGAATTTACATGTAAAGCAAAAATCTCAAGCATATCATGTTAAGTAGTGTCGTTGCGTTTGGAGAAAGAATTAATTCTGTACATTTATTCTTCATTTTCTTCAAAAACTGCACAGCGTCCCGTTGAGCGTTCCGTTAATTAAATATAATACACCAGTTCATGTATTGATCATTTAATACAATTGCATGATGAAAACAATAAGAAATGTAGAAGAATTTATGCATTCTCATGAATGAATATCCTGGTCACCCAGTGATTTAAGCAGGCCGCCGCCGTAGTTTATTCTCTGAATCGTTGCCTCATGTGACTATGAATTATCACTTAGCCACGGTTACTGTGCAGACTTTTCTTTCCTTTCTTTAACAGTCTCTTTGTATATTTAGTTACTCGTAGTGTCTGCTAAACTTCATTTCTATTCTTATATAGTGCTTATCGAACTGACTTTACCCTCAAATGTCGTGGTTAGTAACTGAGTGCAGGACGCGCATTTCGTCCTGATGAGGAATGTACCTAAAAGCTGTTTTTCATCTGCATAGTCATTTTAAAAAACTCCAGCAGAACTGCTTACAGGTTGATTTAAATTCAAAAGAGCTAGGAGTTTTAAATTGTTTGTTTTAATGAGCAATTATAGCTAGGTGTAACGTGGCGTGATAATAGTTATCGGCGACTTTGTGACCGTTAAAATACGGTGCTTATATTATAATAATATAATTTTTTACTTTAATCTAAGTGTAGAACTTGGGCACTGTGGTGGTAGAATGCAATTCCATATCAGATAAGTTTATTTCAGAGGTCACACAGCGGTAATGCAGTATTAACAAACAACTGGATGACAGGATTTCGAGCATAAATTATTGCTGCTCATATTCATATCAATTCAGTCACACGGCTTCATGGTTTGTCTTATATATTTCTTCTCTGTCTCTCCTTTTCTCTGTCCGTCTCTTCTCCTTGTTGTTTCTTGCCACTTTCCATATCTCCGGTATAGGCGTTGCGTCATTCAGACTGCAAGTGTGCGGTGTTGAAAAATCCTCATCCACCGGATTGTATTCACATGTATGCAATCACAAAATACGGTTGGTGGAACAGGGGTGAAAAAATTAAAAAGTAATATAGTTAGGAATGTCACAACGCCTATACCGGAGATATGGAAAGTGGCAACAAACAACAAGAGGAGGTTGAAGAGAGCGAAAAAGAGAGAAATGAACATAAGACAAATCATGAAGCCGTGTGACTAAATTGATGTGATTATGAGTAGGAATAATTTATGCTCGAAACCTTGTCATCTAGTTATTTGTTAATCCTGAATCATCCTTTGTGTGATATTTGAAATGAACTTATCTAATGTGGAGTTTTTCATTTTTTTCTATTTATATTCTGTAAGGCAGATATTGGATGTTTAATTATGCTCTAATTGTTTATATATAGTGCAAACATTCACACGGTAACTGATTTATTTTGCAGGCTGGAGTTGCTACCTTTATCACTCAACCATTTGATGTAATGAAAACGCGTTTAATGAATGCTCCACCTGGAAAATATTCAGTAAGTTATTTTTCTTCTGATTCCTCTTATTTCACCTCACATATATATGACCGTTGAAGAGTGATTTCATACCGCATTGTGTGAATCAACTATGCGAAGTACCTTTCGACATAAAACTCTATTGTCCTTCCATATTACTATTCTTTTCCCTCACTCACACTTCTGTTTATTATCTCTCTCTCTATTGAATGTCTCCTTACTCTCTTCTCTTGCTTTTTCCATTATGGATAAGTTTTTATTTTGATAAGTCACACAGTGTTGTACAGTAATATTAATTGATGACGTTTCGAGCACAAACTATTGCTCATAATCATAATCAAGAACTTGATATGATTAAAATCCAAGTCAATAGAAAATGGTCAATACATATGTAAAGATGGTTACCGGGAGACGCAATTGTATCACTCATGAAGAAATTTAAATCATTTCACTTTGTGCTAAATATCGCGCTGAAGACGTTGTCCAGAAGGACGACGAAAGCTCCGCAACCAAACCAACCAGCTCAGAGAACACTATTAATTGGAAAAATAAAATCTTATCCATAATGGAGTTATGCTCTACCACAGTGCCCAAGTTTTATACTTATATCTCTTGCTTTTTGTTTGGTAAATGGAAGTGGAGAGTGATAACTCGAACTGGTGTATATCTGTACAAAGTTCTTTGTTCGAACCAGTTGGTCAGTACCTTTTTAAAATTTAATGGCAGTTACAGGATTTTCATCATGAGCTGACATTAGTTAGAGAACCATTGGAAAACCTGTGAGTACTGGACAGCTGTTTCGTCCTAGTTTGGGACTCTTCAGCAATACGCACCCACCGCGATTCGAACCCAGGACCTTCTGGTTACAAGGCGAGCTCGTAAACCATTGAGCCACTGGGACTCGATCCAATGGCCCATGAATTCTAACTTCTACCAATTCAGGACATAGCGCGACCCCTAGCCAATGTCTTCGGCGAGTATTTGTCCTCACACCCGACCTGCTGCACCCTACTGGTCACAACTTCTCACTAGAACCCCAGGTAACTACCTACCTGAATAGGGCAAGTCGCTAGTGAGCATCTCATTGATATTCAAGTGTTATTTCTATCTGTAGATTGTTAATTTCTCAAGTGCTAATACTGTTGACTGTTTCATCGTGGGGTAGTTAGTTAGTTCAATTTAAAATCTACTATGCAGGATTCGTTACACAAGTCGTAATTTTACATTCTGTTCAACTGTGTATATTTGCAGGTTATTATTATTATTCCCTTAGGTTCTCGATGGAAGACAGGGTCAAAACAGCACATCCACGTTTCACTGTATTGTCTGTAAGCTCTCATTTCCCCCTCACATGATCCTTTGCATGTCACTCGCGGACCAACGCGTCGGTGACACAGCGGTTAGGACTCTCACCGACCGTGCACATGGTTCGGGATTCAAGCCCCCGCCGACGCACACCTGATATCTATGGTCGGCCTGCAAAATTTGGGCTACCGATATCACATGCTGAAAATTCCAAGGTTGTACCAAAAATACTGTATGGAATCAAGCTATAATCAAAAATCAAAAAAATTGTCCTTCCCCATTCAGGTGCTACTTGAGCGTATACCTGGCGTGTGATGTCATTCAACAGTCTTCTGGGCGTATGTCTAACCCATCTTCATTTTCTTCCGCATAGTTGTTGAGGGGGAATACGTTGCTGGATAGTTCGCTTCACTGTCAGCATTCCTTGTTACTTGTCTTTTGTGGCTGACTATGTGATCTTTTGTATCTAACAATGGCAGCTGACTGTTCATGAAAGTTTTCAGTCTGTTGGAGATGCTTTTCATGACATGTGCATCAAGTCTCTGACTCATATAGAAGCTCTGAGTTCACATTATTGTTGAAAATTGGATCTTATTCTTCTTTATGCTGAATGCAGAGAATTTCCACACTGATTTCAGGGTAATGATGATCCATCTTACGTCTTCTATCCTGCCTTTGACATTCTTATCCGTTCCGCCCGTAGCTGAAACGATGCTGCCCATATATAATTGAGAGGAGTGATTTCGTTCAAATTTATCACGTCGATAATGACTGGTGCTTGTTGACATTGTTATTAATTAAATACCTTCATCACTTCTGTCTCCTATGTTCACCTGGAGTACTGTCTTTGCTGTTTCTTTCGATAACTACTTGGTTCTTGTCTGTAGATCTTCGAGATTGTGTGACATTAGACAGACATAAATCATCCGCAAAGTCCGGATCTTCTAGGGACTTTCTGTCCGTCCAGCGTGTTCTGTCGTCTTCTAGTTCCCCGCAGCCTGTTACATGATCCAGTCCACCACAGTCATGCATGATTTTAAATTAAAAAAGAATAATTTTAATGTACAGTCACTTGCTATTTGGCATCTTACAAGCATCTTACAACGTTATTATTAATGTTGAGGTTTCATCACTTAAAGCGCTTATAGGAATACCGAGAAGCGCATAGCTTTCTGCGTAATTCTTACTTCCTTTTCAGAGTTTATCTTTCGTATCAGTTAATCCCCCTGAAATTCAATCTAGATTTGTCTGGTGATGCAGAGGTTGTTGTTACTATTTGAGCATTCAGATCAGGATTTATATCTTGGGCGGATGAGTTGTATTCATATACTGGTTGCTGAATGGTGTTGAAAGGGTTTTAAGACTTAACAATATCTTCGGATTCATAAATATGATTTAAATTCACTGGTTTTTCTTTCTATGGAGACTGACAATAGTAATAACTTGTCCAGGTTTGTTCAGGAATGGGTTGTGAAGATCAAGAGTTTGGTCACGAGTTGACGTCAGTCAGAGAACCATTCGAAAACCTGGGACTACTGGACAGCTGTTTCGTCCTAGTTTGGGTCTCTTCAACTTTACGCACCCACTGGGATTCGAACCCAGGACATTTAGGTTACAAGGTGAGATCGTCGACTATCCAGACTTGTAACCAATCAAATCCCTGCAAACCATTACTTGATAATTAATGTTATACTTACTAGCAACTGACTCTATACAGGAAGCTACCTGGAGTTCTACTGAGAAATCTTAACCAGTGGGGTCCAAGTCAGGTAATGGAAAGTTAGTCACCTGTGACATTTGCTGGCAGTTGCGCTGTATGTATCGTGAATTGGTAGAAGCTGGAATTCATAGGGCAGTGGATCGGGTCCCAGTGCCTGAATGGTCAAAGAGCTGAGCCTTGTTACCCAAAGTTCCTAGTTTCGATCCTTGGTGGGGTTGCGGGTGTGTGTGCTACTGAAGAGTCCCAGACAAGGACAAATCACTCATACGGTACTCAATATCATTCGATTATCAAACTTGAAACAAATCAAGTCTCTACAAATTAACTCTTAAAAATATTAATAGTAATAATTGTAATTATTGATTTTATTCTGTCTTATGTTCATTTCTTAGGGTCTTATGAATTGTGCCGTCGATCTTGCAATCACCGGTCCATTATCCTTTTTCAAGGGTCTTGTACCCGCATTTATACGTTTAGCACCGCATACTGTATTAACATTTGTATTCCTTGAACAATTAATTGTTAACTTTGGACATGTACAGACGCCTCCTCATTAACAGTCAACTTATATGCAATGTAACTTTATGAATTCCTATCTAGTCACATTATTTCGCTTCATTTTTATTATTTTGATTGCAATATTTTTCGTTTTTTGGTTTTTTTTGTACCCGTTAATTTAATATTTCTAATTTATTTATTTATTTATCTATTTTTTTGTAAAAACAATGAACGAAAGAGCAAGTATTCCCATTCCCACTTATTCTTTTGTATCCAAGCAAGAAGGCTTAGTAATACTCAGTTAACGCTTTTTTATACATATATTTATTATTTTTTCAAATTAATTAATTAATTATTTCATTATTATTACTGGAATCCGGAGTGATCTCTATTTTTGATTTATCCGCTTTTATTGATTTCCATGATCAACTTGTATTTATTTATTATCATACACTGTTCTTTGCATCATCAACTCATAATCCTATTGGTACGAACTTGTGTGTATGTGTGTGTGTGTGCCAGCTATTCATAGTGCTTCTTTTGTATCTTTGACTTACCTTACTTAATATGAAATTTTATTTATCATTGAAAGTTTGTTATCCATCATTCGTTTCGTCGTTATTTAAAAGATCTCTTTTCATTTTCATTTCTTTGTTTTTTTGTATTGAAATGGCATAATTATTCACATTTCTATACCTCTGTCTGTCTGTCTGTCTGTCTATCTCTCTCTCTCTTCCTCTTCACGACTCAAATTGTTATTTTCTGGCTGGTGATGATTTCAACTAACTGATAAATACCCAACTCGATACCTAACCTGATTACCTTTCAGTGATGAGAATTCCTATCTTTCTGCTTTATTATTTAGATTTAATTCCAGTACTTGCTTGTCGGCTAATCAAAATCGAATTTACGGTTATTCGCTTTATCCCGCCCACATAATATTTCTTCGATTGTTTAATTTTGATTGGCTAATATCAAATAGATACTGATGTGATTTACACATGCAGTTTGTATTCGTTCTTTTTATACCTATAAGTCAGCTCACATGTGACCGTGTCGTAGTGCTGTATGTATTCTTATCCTCGAACATTATTATCAATTGTGTAATATAGTTAGCGTTGACCAACAAATTGGGAAGAGTAGTACTGTGAAACGTTGCTATTTCGCTTAGATTTGAAGGTGAAAACCAACAAGTTGGCAGATGAAACAGAGAAGACCAGACTTCAGTCGAATGTAGAGAGGACGTAGGTGATGGAAACGCCTAACTAACTGACTAACAACAACTATCTTCAATAACCACCAACTGGAGAGATCTAAGGCAAGCTGTTTCCGACTCCCATCTAGGCAGCATCGTGTCAACTACAGGCAGAAGGAATGCGATTATCAAAAGCCGTACTAGAAAAGCAAGAAAGACATTCAATACTCTGAATTCAGTATGCCAGTTCGCCGTACTTAGAATTAGGAACAGGACGAGACTTTTGAACACTAATATCAAGCTAGTGCTTGTATATGAGTCAGAGATTTGACTCGTGTGTCATTGAAAGCATTTTCGACAGGTTGAATACTTTCATGAATAGCTAGCTGCCATCGTTCAATACTGAATATCACATAGCCAGCGAGAGAGTAATAGCTATAAGGAATTGTTTTCTGCGTGCAAAAAATCAAGCAACAATTATGCAGAATTAAATGACGATGGACTGGACACACTGGAGAGAGAGAGACCGTTGATTGACATCGCGCTCCAGGCATACCTTCGGGTAGAACCTTAACGGAAAAAGACAACTTGGACGCCGGTCTCTGGCTGACATAGAAGTGATCATGTGAGGGGGGAATGATTGCTTACAGGCAATAGTATACACAGCTACAAAAGACTTCAGAAAACAGGATGAAACTGAGATGTGCTGTTGAAACCCTATGTTCCACTAGGAACTCGGGGGATCCAGATCACCTTCGAACAGTGCCAGTCGGCACTTTACCCATTGACGTTGAATCAGAATCTGCTATTGATAATGGTGAAACTCAGCAAGAAACTGCATCTCATTTTGCAATACATTATTAGCTACATTTCATTGTGTAAAGCTTGATAATAAAGAGTAGCTGTAAAACCATCAATCTGCAGAGCACAATGTGCTAAACTGCACTACCTTCTGTTTTACGCCGTCGAATACACCTATTTTCAAAGTTTACATTGTGACCTTAGCATACTAATTAACGAAATGAATTCTTAGTTATTTCTGTGAGAATAAACAGTATGTGTTTTATAAGATCTGAGTGTATATGAAATATTCCCAAATCATTAGTTAAAAGTCAGACTGAACGAAGAATATTCATTTCAATAAATTCTCCTCTTCAGGTTCTTACAATTATAAAAATATAATTTCATGCATTTATTCCCCTTGATGAATTTAAATAAAGCAAGAACAACAGTGGTTTGTGCAGAATAATATGGTACCATCATTTATTTCGTTGGCTTCCCATAAGCTGCTTACAGCCTAAATAAATTGTGAGGTTTACGTACAGAAAAGTTTCAACATACTTGCAAATTTTACATGTTGTCAGTTGACAGAAAGCTCCACAATTAGTGAAAAGTGCTCAGAAAATTGTGCTGATATAGTTTTTACACAGGCAGTTCAAGTCAAAATAAATGTATGCATACAATGGCAAAGGAGTTACGTAATAAAGACGAGAGGTGAGTAAGATGATGAGTAACTAATAAATTTGGTAACGATGTACTGAGTTCAAATCACGTCATAGAAACAAGAGACAAGCAATATTGCAGATTATAAAAAAGAGGGGTGAGGTTAAAGACAAAGATTACGTAATCAGAGTAGAGAATAAAGACATCCAGTTACTATGGCGAGGAAAGACTAATAACTGCTTCTTTCTGAACACATAAATCTGGTTTGAAGCGTTTGATAGAAATTGCTTCGGCAAACTTGAGGAGAATGGAGCTCCTTTGTCTATTGATAATTTTAAAGGATTTCTCGATTCCCTTTATCAATAGACAAAGGAGCTCCATTCTCCTCAAGTTTGCCGAAGCAATTTCTATCAAACGCTTCAAACCAGATTTATATGTTCAGAAAGAAGCAGTTATTAGTCTTTCCTTGCCATGGTAACTGGATTTCTTTATTCTCTACTCTGATTACGTAATCTTTGTCTTTAACCTCACCCCTCTTTTTTATAATCTGTAATATTGCTTGTCTCTTGTTTCTATGACGTGATTTGAACTCAGTACATCGTTACCAAATTTATTAGTTACTCATCATCTTACTCACCTCTCGTCTTTATTACGTAACTCCTTTGCCATTGTATGCATACATTTATTTTGACTTGAACTGCCTGTGTAAAAACTATATCAGCACAATTTTCTGAGCACTTTTCACTAATTGTGGAACTTTCTGTCAACTGACAACATGGAAAATTTGCAAGTATGTTGAAACTTTTCTGTACGTAAACCTCACAATTTATTTAGGCTGTAAGCAGCTTATGGGAAGCCAACGAAATAAATGATGGTACCATATTATTCTGCACAAACCACTGTTGTTCTTGCTTTATTTAAATATAAAATATAATATTAGTTATCGTTACAATGAAAGGCAGTTATACAGTGGATACCTTTTTACATGGATTAACACATTAGTTATGGGCTGACAACATAAATAGTATTTGTGTGAAATCAATTACTAAATGTGTGTAAAATGCGTGACTACCATTCATGCAGTGTGAAGAGGGAAAATTGACAGGTTAATTAAAGGTTATAACAGATATTTGGTGAGTGGCAAGTACAAAATTGGATGCATTAAAGAGGAGACAGTAAGACTGCGATGAGAAGTTCATCATGAAATAACCAGTATGTGAAACGAAACAGGTGGAGATATATTATTGACAAAACAGATAATATCACTAAGAAATAAAGTATAATTCTATTTCATTAGTTTACACACAATGATAAGTTTTTTTTTTGGTACTATTGAAATATAATTATACTTTATTTGATCTAATCCACAATGCTCAAACTTTTTACTGATATTAATATCACTAACAGTTTGTCCAAGTAGTATAAGTGAAAAATTAAACAGTACTAATAAGAATGCTAGAATGAATGACGGGTATACATTAAAAAACATTGTGGCTAAAACTGTTGGGACGACGATAAAACTAAAAAAAAAACAATAAAAAAAGAGATGAGAGGAAAAGGGACTTTAAGAGGGGAGAAGAGCCTTTGTTCCAAGTTTGGCCACTGTAGGAACAACACTTGAACATGTTTTATTTGAATTTAAATTTTTGCTTTAGTTGACCTTATTACAACGCCTTCAGCTATAGCTGAGGACGTAAGTGAACTGTGCATGATAATTAATTCAAAATGTACTATATTATTTCCTTGGGTTCCAAGTGGGGCATAACGCTTCAACAGCATATCTCTCCTTTGTACTGTCCTCTGGGGTCCTCTTTAGCTGGCCCTGCGATTATCCATGGGCTCTCATTTCCGCCTCATACGATCTTCTCACTGTAACTCTCTTACCCATTCCCAACTCATCGTTTCCTATTCGAGTTCCTGTGAAGGGCCTGCGACTCGATGTTACCCAATGTGCTCCTCGGCGTGTGCCCGATCCATCTACATTTTCTTCGGAATATTTGCTGAACAATAAGTACTTGATCGGTTCATTTTCAGAGTTCCCTGTTGCTAATCCTTTCTGGTCATCTGATCTTCAGTATTGAGTGGGCGAAGGCAGTTAGTTGTTGAGTAAAGTTTGTAGTCTGTTCGAAATGCTTTCTGTAACGCGTAAAGCTTCTGATACATGCAGAAGAACTGATTTAACACTGGTATTCAAAATCCGAATTTGGTTCTTTGTGTTAATTGCAGCAGATATTCAAACTGATTTCAGACTGTTGAATGTCTGTGTCGGCTTCCTGATTCTGTTTTCTACATCCTCATTGACAGGAAATCGGCTTAAACTAGTAATCCTCCTGTGGTCGGATGACTAAAATGTCATCATCTTTTCCTTACCTTGGTTCCGGGCAAATCGCCAACCAATCGGAATATTTATTTTTCGTCGACCTAGTCGAATCGCCTATCAATCAGAACAAGGTATTTTCCACTGCTCTAGCCAAATTTCAGTTTGATTAGAAATAAAGAAATATGATATGCTTTTTCCCTGATGAAGTTGTATCCTAACAGTCACAGTCCAGTCTTTATCTTTTGATATTTACGTGGCTCAATCAAGCGGATGGTACCTTGGACGTATAAAGGTGTATATAGCATATCGGTTGAGTTGTCCATTGCCTCTATATTATTGTACCCACATGCATAAATTCACTCAGTCACATCTGATGTCGATGAGGTCACATCGATTGGCGACAGGCGCAGAAAAAACTGGTGATGAGTTCATATCATCTGGCGACTTAGATCATAACAAAAATCCTGTTTTATTCCCCAAAGAACACATTAAAGCTAGATCAATTGCGGACAATTTCTTGAAGACTGAAGTAATATGATTGCTTAACAGAGCTCTTAGTAGTTTAAACAGTCTTTAGCTTCAGCTGAGCTTATGATATCTAACATTTTGCGAGGCTATTCAAATCAAATTAGTTCATAAATGAACTGTACACTTGCATGCGTTATTAACATCGGTGATATTTCTCCAAGTTAAATAGAAATTACGTAGATAAGATTTCATGTGAATCTCGTTGTAGAGCCTTACGGCCACATTCTTTTCTATATTCCCTTGAAATTTTTAAATGTAGACTTAAGCATCAGACTGTGGGTGGTAAGAAGACAGGCATACACTGAACCCATAAGAAGAATCTTGAAGATCTCGATCTCATGCTTGATCTATGTTCAGTGTCACACAAACTCGAAGACCTACAGGTAAAAGCCAACAAGTTCAAAGAAGAAACAGCGCAGACAGGTTTTCAGGTGAACAAAGCGAATATGGAGGTGATGCAGGTAACCAACCGACGAACAGCAACACCAACTAGCGCTAATCACCTTCAACGGCAGAAATT